TCCGTTTGGCGGTTCATGAGCCTTTTGGCCCGTCTGGACCGTACAAGCTTGAAGCTTGTAAACGTAAAACGTAAACGTAATGCATAAGGGCTTTCATTATCGGTCACACTTTAGCATTCAGTCCGGAACTCTCAGTACACAGATTTACCACTGAATGTCAACTATATCGCGACACCGTTGGGCATAGGGCCCAGCGTGCGTGTTTGAGAAGAAGCCTACAGTGAAGCAGGCGTGGGCGACAACAAGGATACCACTGAGACCTCTCCTTGACAGGCGAAGGCATTTCTATACTACGGGCTAAACTTAATCTCAAAAGGTACCGCGTATCTCATATTTGAATTCTTAGATGGCGGCGTATGATAGCTCGAACTCCCAGGCCTTGAGTGTGTAACGGACCAAACATAATATTTCACCCGGCTGAAACGCGTTATCGGTACTATATAGCATTCTCTATTGCAAGGTATCTCGCATGTAGCTAAAAAAGATCGTATGAGCACAAACAACTTTGGCTGCCTCCATTGACCGAGCTCATAGTCACATCAACGCCTCTCGGGCTAAATTTCATCTGAAAAAGGTGCCGGGTAACTCATCATTGATTTCCGAGATGACAGCGTATGATAACTTGAACACCCAGCTTGTGTTACCATTTGCCCGCACGGGCATTCCGACTTGCCACCAGCAGGCCGACAAATTTGCTTACATTTCTCTATGAAATACGTAAGCTGCGCATATGTACATTTACTTTAGCCAATGCTCGGGGCCTCCGGAGACTTGCGGTGTGCCCCGATGAAGCCCGCGGCTGTGGGGCGGATTGCTGAGGCCGCTGGCGCTTCGGGGATAAACATCACAGACAGCACCGAAATTCACCCAGCTTTCGTTACCATTTGCCCGCACGGGCATTCCGACTTGCGGTCTGCCGCACTGTCCATGCGGCATGCACCCGGGATGGATGCGATTCGCGTGGAGCCCGCAGGCGGTGCTGACGGTTCCGCCGGTGCAAGCTTAGCTCTCACACCATCAGCACTGCTGCAACAAAGCACGTCTCCCACCGCGGTGACACTACCCATCAATTGTCACACGTGCCGCGCTAGCTACCGGCCTGTACGGATGCAGGGGGGCCCGCTTTTTTCCGGCTTCGAGGAAGCCGACACCCGACTTGTCCTTGTTTGGGACCTTGTTTGCTTTTTCTCCATTTTTGGGCGAGGCCCCGGACGCGAAGCGCCATTCGAGGGGCCGAGCCAGGTGTTCACTGCTGTCAGTCAGTCAGTCTGTCAGGGGCTTACATATCTTGCTCCG